TTCAACTCTTTAATGACATATCTTATACTTTTGTTTCTTAAACGCAAAATTGTCTCGTTTCAATTTTTTTGTGTCATTTAGGCATTATATTCAGTAACTTTTCTTCCTCTCTATCATCCTTGCACAACAGTATAATCAAACGTTGGGAAAGCAAAGATTTGCTGGCGCCTTGGCGGCACTCGTGTACCGAGATCCCGTACATTCGATGAGCCGCAATTGTTTACCATCCATTTCAAATGAATTCATCCCAGATTCAGGTTCCTATCGATGATTTTCAGATTTTCAAAGTATTTGTATAAAATCTTGTATCATATTTATTATGTACGCAGAGAATCAAGGAATTTTGAGAATAACGTAAATATCCAACAAAAGCATTGTTCAAAATATTAGGAAGAGATGAGCTTAACTTGAATATAAAGCGAACTAGGTATAAAATTTGTTATAACTTCAAATTCTTCATTTAAAAAATGCGACGTACTCAAACATTCAAAAGTAAGCAACCACGGATATATCCCATCCAATTAAAAGTCAAAAGTAGCCTGGTCGAATTTTCCAAAGTATATCGTACACATGAACATTGGCAAGAGTTTACAGTTTTTTTTATTTCCTGAAATTCCACGAATTCAGTTTCAAAAACATACCTAGAGCAAGCATATGTTCAAGAATAAAATAAATCTCTATTATTTAGCTAGATTCCCTAATATAGCAACTAAACTATCTTCTAAGCTTCGTCTTCTAAGAGGTACTTGCGTATTAAATTGATCTTATCTACATCTATCCAACTTCAATTGATACCAGATATATGTGGGATATTTAAGCGGTACAGAGGTAGCCAGCCAGTCATCGCTACCCCAACTCTTGATTATATTGCTGTGAAAGTGTAGTGAGATGAGGAATCACTTGAATCAAAAAAGTTATTGGAAATTAATGCTAAATACGAAAACAACTAAAAGTAATAAATCTTATACGATAGTTGTTAACAAGAGATAAAGCGTAACTATTTTTAAAAGGAGGTTGAAATCAAATATAATTGAGGTGCCAAGTTTGAGAGAGTTAGTTTGCAAGTCGGCAAAATAATTGTTCACCACGAACATAGTAGAATTTATCAAAGTTTAGATAATGGATATAACTTTTCATACTACACGAACTTGTGAATTTCCTTGAAAATTCTAAGCATATCGAAACTCTGTACTCCACATTTTGAACTTTATACCTTATCTTCTCAATGCCGTCATAATCTTTAAAAATTTGGTCCCATGATGCTGTGGTCACTGCAATAGGAACTATGCTCAATTTACTCATATAACTTGCACTAAAACGTGTTTTGGTATGAAGTCTCATGTTACAAGGACACCCAATCTAACTCAATATTCCAAACTGGACAAACTCTATGCATAATTACCTTTGGCAAGAACAAGGAAAAGTAGCAAATATTGGGAGATCTTGAACATACATCTCTATATAGATCTTATATACCTTATATCTTCTTTAGTTGAAGTATATGAAAATTTCCTATCATCCGTGAGCAAAAACATTGAAATCTGGACCAAAAGAAGAATCGTGAGAACAATTAGACTCTAAACAAATGATTTAGCACAACTGTTTACAAAGCTCATATTTGCCCTTTTATGCAACGTCACTCATCTCAATTCGACGACCGAGTATGAATGTTTACCGCATGGAGCTACGCACTTTTCTAATCTCTACCAATGCATGTGCTAATTTTGTTTTGAAGTCACCTATCAAATACATAAAAGACCTAAATTTTAAAATGGAGCGACAAAGACGATTACAAAGCTATGACTCACTGGATTACGCAATCATCATCCCAAAATGCGTGACCCACCCATGGGTCACGCGGTCTTCAGTGGGCTAGATCAGTTATTTGAATACTTAGATGACAGGTATTTACTCGACGCGCAAGCCTCAGCAATCTTGCCATCCGTTCCTGCCCGTCGCTAGCTAATCCACGACGCTGGTCTTTCCATGCAGCGAACGCGTCAGCCCATCTTCGGCGGCCTTCCTCGAGGCGTTTTGCTTCGTAAGGTATGCATTCCAGGGTTCTTAGTTCCACCCGTCGTCTGTCCTTCTCATTATATGAGCAGCCCATCTGTTTCGCCTCGGAGACGGCATTGACCTCATGATTGAACGAAATCCGACGGGATGTTGCGTGCGTCGGTTGTACTTCAGAAGATGTCGTTCCAGTGCTCTGCAGATTCTTCGGAGAGCCCTCGACATAGTCACAGTGTCAGGCTACCTCTTTGCTGCATGAAAAGTCCAGGGAAAACGATTGAGTGGAGCAGGTGCGCTCGGAGCTCTAGGTTCGCCAGCTGGTCTAGGCTACCTTTAAAGGCTCGAAAGAGGCCCAAACGACTTGAGGAACTGATGAACTTTTGCTTGATTTGCTGTCCTGTCCGCTTTCCATTTAGTTCTTTCAACGTCGTTTCTGCTTCACTCATAATCCTCGAGAAGAGAACGATGCTATCCCTTCAAAGCTGGTATGCTATAAGAGCGATGGAAAAACTGTACCGTTGTAGAGCAGTTTGCAGCAGTTGGCCAATTTCTAAGATGGGTCCACCGTGGTCGACGAGCGCTCGGTACATTGGTCTCAAGGCTTCAAACGCTTCTTCTTAGTCGACAAGCTTAAAACGAGAGGTAACACTCTCGGCAAACCTCGATAATCCTCGAAATTGTCTATGTGGTTCACCCAGCCAAATTCGTCGAAATCCAGTTGTTTACAGGTTGGCAATGTCCCTTATAGCGAGTGAAAATGATCTGGTTAAAAGTTTGTACACGTTAAGTAGGTATACTAAAGTTCCAAAGATCCTTTCTACCTTCTTATGAAAGAGGGTTAATTAAGAGGTCCCCCATTGGGGATCCTTTCCTTTTGAAGAGGACGTTAGGTGCATCCGTTAGCCGCAAGTGTCTCGTACAGACGATGTCCTCTACTCGTAAAAGGTCGGCTGAGAAGTGATTCGGTCCCAGAGCGTGGCTGCCTTCTTTATCTGGATTGCGGAGCTTTTCCGTAAAACCGCGGTGGAGTTTCTCGAGGACAACGGGGTTTGCATGTGTGTTGAGGAGTGGAAGAGGTTGGTGCAGAACCTCTTTGTGATATCTCGTCTTCTATCAAAAGAAGTGCCAGTCCCGTCTTCGTTTAGCAATGTTGTCAGCGAAATCCGATAGTCGAGGAGGTTTCGGAGGTATTTGTTAGACTTCTTCTTCCTTTTCCTGTTTCTAAAAGTTTTGATTTCTTGCATCTCGAAGTTCTTCCTGCAAAGCTGTTCTGTTATGGTATTGGCATCCAGTCGCTCGAGATTGAATGCATTTGGATCCAACCTCAGTGCTCTCCTCTCAAGCAGTTCCTTGGCGGCTTTCGCAATTCGTTCCAAGTTCCTTGTGCGAGGCATCGAGACGCTTTCATCACAGGCTCTCAGTCCCCTAAGAAGCAGGTCGCAGTCTTTCTTTGGGTCCTCCTGATGGGACAGTTACAAGCGCTCAGGAGCTCCTCCAATCTGACGCTGTCATATACGACTTCTTTCCTTCCTCCAGCACGGTGGCAGATCTTCTTTTCCAGCTTTCGGCTGAATCGCACTTTTGTTCGAAGGAGGCGGTGATCTGAGCCAATACTGAAGGATGGTACCACTGAGCATTTCAGTAAGCACCATCTTCGGTTGGTGAGAATGTGGTTGATCTCCGCATGAGTCGTACCGTTGGGTGACCCCCATGTCCATCGCCGGTGTTCTTTTTTCATAAAATTGTTGCCATGGAAAAATCGTGCAGCAGATGAGAGCCTAACAAGGAGGCTCGTTCTCATTCCGGAGTTCTGACTCAGACCCCCCGATCCTATGCTCCCCTTCTATTGGCTCCAGATTTTCGCAATGAATTAACCCACGAAAATTTGTAGGGGGGACTTTTCTCTGCGGATGACTTCCCTCAAGTGCTCATAAAACGCATTTAACCCCAAGACATCACCTCGTGATTCAAAGAATAGAGGATAGTGATGATTCTCTGATGCAGAGAACACAGTTTGAGGATTGGCAGGCGAGGTATATGATCTCATGGAGATTGATAAGATGACAACAGAATGTACGACAAATGGCTCCAACGTTCCATGATGGTACTTACTCATTATAAATGATGAGTGTGCCATCAATAAACTGCCCCACATCCGTCTTCCTGGACGTTACTTTCTGCAAGGCAATTGCGTAGTTGATGTGTCCTGCAACTTCTAGAAGGACGCGAAGATTGGCTGGTGGAAGCTGTCGTTGCGCTGTAGAGCATGAGACATTTTCCATGACGAGTCGTTGACGCATCCTTTTGGTTTGAAATCCATGGCCTTCTATGCAAACTGACACTGGTCTTGATATCGAACCCGGTGATCTGAAGAATGTAGCTTTTTTCCTTTACATGCTGTACAAGCGATAATTGCGACTGATCAGCCAGACGGTGGCGCTTTGGGCAGCGTCCAACACGGGGAAATTGGCCAAAGTAGTGAGACTAATTCTGTTAAAACCACATTGAGAAGCACGTTTGGAAAAAAAAAGTTCTAGTAGATTCTGTAAATTCATAATTTGATTAAGAAGCTCTTCATAATTTTCTTTATGTTTATCTCATGTGCATCTTCAATCTCCTGAACAAGTCATATGCATAAAGCCCTCTTCTGCTTTGCAAAAGGTGTTATCGTTTCCCTTTCTTCATGTTCTAGTTTTCCATGCAAAAAAAGTCTTTTTGACAATAGATTTTTTCGAAATTGTCTTTAAACGTAAAACCCTCTGATTTTTGAAAGATAACAAAATATATAATCAAAAGTGTTGGTCAGTACTTTTATCTGTTCCCATTTCTGCCAATTTTACTATACCAGAAATCGCTGGGGCCCGATGAAAAGGTTCAGTCAAATCACGATACATCATATCTGGAATTACAAAATTGTCAAAATTGAAACCCCACTCAAACAAGGCTCGAAAAGAGTAAAAAAATATTAAACTGCATAAATGCTCTCCTCTGGAATTTGGGTGGCATGCATAGAGCCACAGTAGTCAATAGGCCGAAAATGCAGTTTTTCGGTTTAGATCAACTTTGATTCCATGGCATCCTCTTCATTCATAAAATAACTAACTTTACACGTTTTGCGAATTTTCAATCCTTGACTAACAAAAAATAATCGTTGTCGAAATTACTGTTTTTCCGACTGTATC